GTTGGCCACCGGGGTTCATTGGCGGTTTCGGTGGTGCGTGGGTCTGAGGATGGGGAGAGGCCTCGGTTGATGTGCAGTTTTCCTGTGGTGGCGGTCGAGGTTGGGGAACCGTGCCATCTTCCCCCCTCCCCCTGTTCGGCTAGTGGTGTTAGGCGGCGGGGGTCCGGGGACTTGGTTCTTTTCGGCTCGGGTAGTGTTGTTAGACGGGTTCGGGAGGAGCTGGTGGGGGTTGGTCGTTTTTTTCTCGGTTGGAGGTTGGTCGATTCGGGGAAGGGTTCGGGGCTTGGTTTCGGCTGCTGTATAGGCGGTTGCGCAGTTTCGGTAGTGGTTTCTGGGGCCAGGACTCCTTCTTGTGTCGATTGATTCACTGCTGGTGGGGACTGCTAGTTTGCCGGGAAAGGGCTGTTTGTTATCTTATTTTATGTGTTTGTTTTTGTTTTGTGTTTTCCGTATCTGTGTTTGTATTAGTACCTTGTGTTTTAGGTTTGGGCTGTTGACCTCAGTTTGAGCAGGAGCAATTTATTGTCCTGTGGGGACCAGCTCCTGTCTCTATTCTCCTGTGGGGAGCTTTCGTTGTAGTTTTTATTTGTGTTGTTGTGTTGTTGTTTGAGTGCCTTGTTTTGGTTTCTAGCATTTGCTAGAGTCGGCTTCTAGGCGGTCGTCAGACTTGTCGTCCCATTTTTTTCAGCTGTGGGCTGTGTTCCAAGTTGTATCTTTGCACATTTGTGCACGTTTATTATATAAAATCCCTATCGTTTTGGCAAAAAAAAAAAAAATAAAGGTCCGAATTTATGGTATAAAGTGGACGATTTTATTTTACTATGAAATGTCCGAATTTATATGTATGAGTTTTATTTGGTATGAATAGAACTGTATTTGAATTTTTGAAAACAAAATACGTAGGATGAATTTTATTTGGTATGCGTATGAAAGTCGAATTTCAGGTTGATTTGTTATAAAATCAAAGTGATATGATTATCAAATATAAGCATATTCACATAATAACATTCCATAAGATACTGATGATAGTTCGGAAAATTAGTATGTAGTTCTCTTGAAAATCAGAAAAAACTTCGAACAAATATTGGTTAATAAAATTTAAAATTGTAATTTAATTCTAGAGAATTAGTTGATAAATTTTAACGTTAACGTAACCTACAACAAATCTAGAAAATTGTAATATATGTGTATAATAAAATTTATGTGTTGCATTGAATTTTTATAAGGAGGTTGTATCACTAATATTATACCGGCTGCACATATGAAAAGATGGATAGACAAAGTAAAAAAATGGCATGTCTATGGAATTCAAAAATACCAAGTAGGGAGTAACTATGGCTCATTTCGGCTCACCATTACTCAGCTTAAAATTGTGACCCTCATTGCTCTTCAGTTTGATTTGAGCTTTGTAACTCTTTGTTATGTTGTGCGTCAATATCAAACTGTGTTATTTAGTGATATTTTTATCTTTATTTTTTTTCGTATAATTTATCATCTTATTTTAAAATTATATTAAATTTACAACTTATTTGTAGATGTAATTGGTCTGGTAATTGAAATTGGATCCATCCAAATGAAAGAGGTTGATGGTATCCAACACAAATGATTGTGTTTACTCTCATGGACCTAGAGTAAGCATTTCTTTTATTTAATGTTATTATATTTTTGTGTAAAAATTGTATTAATTATTTTTAATATATTTTTGTGTAAAAGTCGTATTAATTATTTATTAACATAATTGTTAAGAGAAACAATATTGATTGCAAACTTTGGAAGGATACGTTGACTGAAGTTTAGAAATTGAAGGTGAATATGGAAATTAGCATCAACGATCGGCGTTGATTCTTCAACTTTGACGAACTAAGCCATGCGGAGGTATTTTATTAATATATCAAATCATATATATATTGTCACTAATCAAAAGGGTTTGAAAATATTAGTTTGCGGGTGGTAACGTAAAACACTCCGATCGGCTGGAATCGGTTTGTCTACGTAATAAAAAATATTTTTTGTATTGCACCCCGTGCATGGCACGAGTATCAACACTAGTTACTAAATAAGGGGTAAGAATGATGTTCTACGTAATAAAAATGTAGAACTACACAATGAGAAAGTTTATAGCTCGCATTCAATCCAAAATTTAAAAAAAAAAATGATAAAATTAATTAATGTCCTTAACTTGTGCTAGCTAGTGAAAAATATAAACATATTTAAGATGCACATTAATTTTAACTATAACTTTAGTTCACAAAAAAAATATATATATATATATTTCTTTTTTTGGCATAAAAAATTGGTATGTACCGACAACAATTGAAAAATAAAAAAAGAAGCTTCGACCTGTCCCAAGAGAGGGATGCCCGGGTGGGTAGACCGAACGATACACTGCCTCTCATTTCGACGCATTTCGTTTTATTTCGTCGAACCCAACTTAGAAGCAAAGCGAAGTGAAGGAAAAGACTATACTTTAGAAGCGAAGCGAAGTGAAGTCAAAAATTTGCATCCCGGTTGCGGAACCTCTGTTCCAAGTTCGTCTAGGGCCGATTTCACACTGATTAAAAAATATAATTATTTTCTACCATTAATTTTTTTAATTTTTAAATACTTAATATTTTTTTTTGTTTGTTACCCTTTTTATATGTAGTATATCACATCATTTCTTTCCAATGATATTTGGTTTGATCAATATATTATAAATAAAATAAAAATACTATAATTATTTCTATCTATATAAAATAATATATATATATATATATATATATATCAATACTAATTTAAAATAATCAATGGACCTAAAAGAATCTTATAAAATAAATTATAAATTCATGTTAAATCAATTTTATTAAATATAAAATAATATAAGATAAACTTATGGTATATTTTTTCTTACATAGATCTGAAATATTCATACTAAGCAAAAAGTACAAAATAGATGTAAATGTACAACTATTACCAACATTCACTATGTGAATTAAAAGGAGAAATAAATGAGTATTATGTAAAACTATTATTAATTATGGCTTGAAAGGGAACGCCATAATGGTTGTAACATAGTATAATTTTTGGAAATATGAAAATGACTTAGTTACTTAATATTTTATAAAATATTGAAATATTTTTTAAACTATTTAATCTTATAAACAGTGTATAAGTACATTTTTATTAAATATATTATTATTATTTTATAAATATTTATATTAAATAATATTTATCTTATATGATTATATTGGTTATTTCCTACTAAATAAGATATTTGATAGAAACATTGTTATATAAAGTATGTACAAAAAATGACGTAATACATAAATATGCTCTAATTCTTTCAACATATAAATATTATTTGTGAATACAATAAGAAATAAATAAAATAATATTAATGCACTGTAAGAAATATATGCAGTCTGTAAGAAATTGATTCTCATAATTAACCATCATATATTATTAGTTTTGATTTTAAATAATTAAAAATTACAAACTTTGTAATACATAATGTATATTTTATTAATGGCTTAATAATAATAAAACTCACGGATGACTAAGAGTATCATAATATAATCTAATTATAGTTCTTATCCTCTCGAACCAATGATATGCTTCTCAATATTATCTCAATGTTTTATTTTGTTTGTTTTCTTTTCTTTCTTTTCTTTTGTCATTTAAAGACTAAATGTATGATATTTACCTTGAATTTTTGAAGCATTACGTATGATGCAAAAACTCAAACAATAAAAACATTAAAGAAGTTATTAGACACAAATATTACAAATTCAGACAAATGAGAAAGATATAATGATAAACAACTCTAAAATCATTACAACAACCAAGATGGTCAATGATTTGCAAACAATAGATTATGTAGTTCGTCTATCTTTCAAATAAATAACATTAAAAATGTAATGCCAAAGTCTGATCAAAATATTTTTGAATATTTGAATTTATCACTTTTGATAAGAATATTTACACTCTCATTAGTGTATTGTGCTCGAACATATGTGCAATTATAGTAGAGTACGTCTTCATGTAATGTCTTATAATTTTAAAAAATAATTTAGCATATCGGGATAAGCACATGTAACTAAGATTTTGGAAACTTAACTTTTATTTGGAGATAATTTCGTTCTCACCCCTTTGGGCAATGTCCTATGGGGCGGGTACCAATTTTTTTATCTGCACACACACACACACACACACACAGAGAGAGAGAGAGAGAGAGAGAGAGAGAGAGAGAGAGAGTAATGTAATATTTTTTTATGTGGTCAGAGTAATGTATTTGTTTATACAATGATAAAAAAATACCAGCAACTTTAACAACACGGTTGGTTTATTTTGCAAATATATTCATGAATTGTTAATAAAAATATCTTATAAAGATTATACAATCATGAAGTTTGACTATATGTTTGGCCATAATGTTTCTAACTGTTTGAATAAAATAAACATTTTGACGAATGAATTAAGAAGAATTATTTAAAACTATTGATGCATTGAACTCCAACGATTATGAATGTATGCTATGAGAATGTCAAAATTCAAGATAAACGAAAATCACTTTTGAATCATCTAACATGAATAACTAGAGGAATTAATGCATCTATGATATACATTAGGTTCTTATATAGTTATTTAGTGTTTTTTTTTTAGCTAAGGGATCACTTATATTGTTATGCAAGTTGTAATATATTATTTCATTCTTTTATATTAGGACATCATTATGTTATTTAAAAAAAGAATACACATGTACTCATTTGTTTTATATTTTATTTTGTTCTTGCAATGATATGTTTAATAAATTAATTACTTAATTTCATTAAACTTAATGAGCTTAAAACATTCAACACTGCATGCATTGCATATAGTTGATGATTAAGAAAAATCTGGACTCGAAATTACTCGTATTATTAATAATTTAGTTTTAGAATATAATGATATACCATAACTTTCAATAATCTCCATAGATATATGAAACCTCAAAAAGCTAGTAATANAAAAAGCCCATTGCCCCAAGTTTCACTTTCGCCAAAATTTTCTGCTTCTTCTAAGATCTGTTTTCTTCCCCTTAAACCCGCACGAACGTTTCATCTATTATTAAAAATTTGCCTATTATGCGATTTATTAAATCACGACATTTAATACCACGCAGTTCCTCTCAAATATCAGGCATATGATTATGTCTTAAGCCTGGTGAATAAGATTATTAATTAGTATAATAAATAGTAGTACAATCTAATCTCTCTCTCTCCACTAGGAGAAGGCAGGCTATTTTTATTTGGACAACTCCGTGAGGTGAAGTGAGTCAACTCGGCTGAGTCACCATCATGGGCTGCTGTCTGTCGAAGAAGCATCAGCCGTCGCGGCCGGCGGAGAAGGATCAGTGGCAACAGCAGCAGCAGCAGCAGCACCGTCGCTCCTCATCCGTTAACGGCGCCTCCGCCGCCGGATTCGCGGAGTTCTCGCTGGCGGAGCTGAGGGCCGCCACCAGCAACTTCAGCTCCGACAACATCGTCTCGGAGAGCGGTGAAAAAGCTCCCAATGTCGTCTACGAGGGTCGTTTGGAAAACCAGCGGTGGATCGCCGTCAAGAAATTTACCAAGATGGCGTGGCCTGATCCTAAACAGTTTGCTGTAAATACATATATTTTACCCATCTTTTTTTNTTTTCTTTTCTGGAGAGGAGAACAGATTAGATATGAGCTAATCTTTATGCTTAATTTTATTTATGCAGGAAGAGGCAAAGGAAGTGGGGAAGCTGAGGCACAAGCGGCTGGCTAATCTGATAGGGTATTGTTGTGATGGGGATGAGAGGCTTCTTGTTGCTGAGTTTATGCCTAATGAGACGCTGGCTAAGCATTTATTTCACTGTAAGTGTTGTGAAAATTACTAATTTAGCTTAGGCTTGTGTTTATTTGTATATTTTCCTTTTTAACACTAATGATTCGTTAATTGGGAGTGTTCTTTTAGCTTTAACCTTACATGGTCTAACAAATAACTTGATTTTAAGCTGGTGACTTGAGAAATCTTATGCAAAAGTAAGGGGAAGTGGCAAAAGTTTGAGGGTCTGTGAACTCTTACATTGTTCTGAGATTTTCAAGGGGTAATGTGGATGTAGGATTGAGTTCCCAGCTGGGATTGTAATGAATGAATGAGTTCGTAAAGGTTCTGCTTTACAAAATTAATAATAGTTGTAGTGTGGATGTTATGTTGTCCGTGAAGATTGCTGATAGATTTCATATAGCAGGTTGGAGTCATCCATGTGACTGTTCTGAAACTTTGCTTGGGAAACCTAACCGTTTTGTTCTTGCGGATGGTCTGCGAATTCTTAAAAAGAGGCTTGAAGCCGGTCATAATGAATCACAATGATGAACTCCATGAAATGCTTGCCTGTAGAATTTTTGGTTTGCGCGATCATCAATGATGATTTTGGTTGAGCTCTGAGTTAGACATGAAAAACATTATATTTTTGAAAGAAAACGTAACAACTTTATTTGGCAGGAATGTCTGCTCGAAAAAATGGAGTCATTAAGAGGTTTCTTTCAGACAATAAGGACTTAATCACTTTTTTGTTACTTTTGTTCTGTTGATTGGCGACAACAATACATGTTTTTGGCACGTGAAATAAGGGTTTAACAGTTACTTCGTGTCTTGTAATCCGTGAGTACAATTTACTAGTTTTTCTTTTCCGGTATCATGAGTCTCATTTATTACCTGAAGATTTCCTTCGTGGGTGTTCCTGACTTTTTTCAGGGGTTAATCTCTTCGCATTATTTTCCAAATGAATCTTGATGTATGGGTTTAATGGCGATCTTTATTTATCCTCAGTTTTCTTCTTCACTTTCTGCAGGGGAGAATCAAACCCCTGAGTGGGCTATGCGACTAAGAGTTGCCTTATATATAGCTGAAGCACTTGATTATTGCAGCAGGGAAGGTCGTCCGCTCTACCATGACTTGAATGCATATAGGGTTCTATTTGATGAGGTTAATGTCTGGTTATTGCTTTCATTGCATAGTTATGTTGGGTGGTTGAATCTTGTAATGTGCTTGCTTTTTTCTGCTATGCTTGACACGTGTCTTAAATTTTATAAAACTAGTATTTATGCGTACCCTGTGGTTGACTTTTGTCAGAATGGTGATCCACGGCTTTCTTGTTTTGGGTTGATGAAGAATAGCAGGGATGGCAAGAGTTATAGCACAAATCTTGCATATACGCCTCCTGAGTATCTTAGAAATGGTAAATTTTTTATGTCAACATTTTCTTACTTGCATTATAAAATTGGTTTACAAAGTACAATGAAGTATGCCCTCGTAACCCCGTATTCTTTATATACTGTATCATTTTGTGCAAATAGTTCATTTTAGGAAATATTATATAATATCTTTAGACGAAAAAGACGCAACCTGTTTATTTACTTTTATGGACTTTGTATTCGTCTTTCCTTCATTTAATTACCTTCTGTTACAATGGACTATAATCACCAATACTGCATGGTCCGCACAGCTCATTGTTGTTTATTACGAATTGACTGGATTACCTGATCTGAGAAAGGCCATAAATAGCCATTCTTTTGATATGGGGTTTGTGAGTGATATCTTTGAAACATCATGACATTTACAATGGCTGATTTCAGTCACTCGAAAACACGTGGAACATAAATTCCAAGTATATTATTTGTATTAGAGCGTGTAAAGACATTAAGTGTTTCCTGGGAAACCAACATAATTAATTGGTTCCTCCGATTTGGTTGCACTACTTACCAACAAAATCATGGAACTTAAAAGTTTTTCGTGGACCTTGAAGCTGAGATCTCCCTGCTTGGCCAATTTCTCTATCCTCATAATTGCTGAATCGTCAGTCCAAAATGAAGGTGAAACAATGTGAGAAGAAGCCTCACAGAAACATATTTGTTAAAAAGTATTTTGTTGTACAATTCAACTCCAGCGAATATTATCCAATAAAAGTACGTTATACTCCATGCACGTGGATGTGAAAGTATTTGAATGGAATAAAGCTGTGATTCCTTCCAGTTTGGGCCATGCATGCTTACTAAAAATACAATTTATTCAAGGTGGTCTATGTGCAAGCTAATACAACAAGACATGTTTCAATAAAGCTGTATTAAAACTATACAATATGATTTCAGCTGTTGAGCTACCGGTGCTTTCTTTTTTCTGTACTAAATAAACTTATACTACCAGTTTTACCTGCTGTTGCATGAATGAATTTCTGCTCCAGTACATAATATCATGGAACGGTGAAGATATGTTTTAACAGAATTAATTATCCCTGGAATCTAAATGTTTGTCTATGAATTGAGCAACTGTGGATTCATTTTCTTGTATATTCATCATCTGTAACATCTCTCTCTCTCTCTCTCTCTCTTGGCTTGAATAGAACTCATTCCCAAAAGCTAGCTCTAAGGGAGAGGGGCCCCAACCCACACTTATACACAATAACAGCCCAGTAACTAATGGATGCGGGACAAACATAACTTCTAACACTATCTAACCATATTAAACATGTCATTTTTCATCCAAATCTTTTGTAGGGAGGGTCACACAGGAAAGTGTTGTTTTCAGCTTTGGGACTGTCCTTTTGGATCTGCTTAGTGGAAAGCATATTCCTCCAAGTCACGTACGTTGTCTCAACTTGCTAGTTATCAGCTTCCGTTACTTTCTGCTCGATATGTTTATGGTAGCTGAGTCCCATTTCAATAATTAGCTTTTTTTTTAAGCTGTAATTCCATTTATCTGCTATCATGCTCATACTGAACATCTGTAGGCCATTAATTGCAAGTAATTTACAAAATGCTTCCCTTGCAGTTATAAGTAATATGATAATTTTTGCATAAGATTTTGATATTTGATTTTGTTAAATAGTAATGAACACCAAACTAATCAATGCATAATGGGAGGCTTATTTTAGGAACATATATGCCATATTGGGTTGCTCAACTAGTAGGGGTTAGATTCACTAACACATGTAGTTCATTGGTTCATTAAAGGTGGAGGACCAGATTTACCCTGTTAGAAGTATTATTAACCTTGGCAAATAGGTGGGAATTGTGATGCTTAGTGCTCAACTTATGTTAGGAACGAAAAGTGTACTGTTTTTTTTTTTTTTTTTTAAAGATTTCCTCTTCTACAGAGTTTCTCTTCTCTTTCTAAACACCCATACACACACGCGCAAAGAAATTGTCAATATATGTGACCATGCAGACTTCTAGTGATATATTTATCAAAAGAATTATCTTGTGATGAAATGCTAATACCAACACCCTTGGTTAGTGATCAAAAAGTTATCGATTAACTTGTTAGCTCTGGGCATTGATATCACCCCAAGCAATTGACACTGAAGAAGACAAGAAATGAAATTCCTTATCTACTGTAACTGCAGTTCAATATGCTTGTTGACTGAACTGCATTGGGCGGGAGTCCAGGCAGGTCTTTGGTGATTTTAAAAGCCGTTTACTCAAATTTGACTTTTCTTTTTCGCACTTCCCCAAGGTTTTCAAATACAATGGCACTTATGTTTATGTGAATGATGTCTCAGACAATTCGACGTTGATCGTTTGATTTGTGACTGAAATCCTGTCATTGTTTCTTCTTATGCATTAATCTCTTTTGTTTTACTGTATTTGGCTATTTTCTCCCAATTTTTTAAGATTATACCAGAAGATTAGTACTTGAGTTTCTGTTAAATTTATATGCTATGTTGTCTTAAATATATTAGTAGTTTATGCGATACATATGTAATCACCTGTTGGCATTTCTTTTGAATGAGCGAATGAGATGATGTAATGGTTGCATTTATGTGAATTCTTGTATTTCTGTTACATGCAATCCTGTTTCCAGTTGATTTGTCACTGACTGTCATACAGTCTCATGGATCTGCCCCCCTGCCCCATGAAGTTTTTACTTATTATGACTACAGCCAATTTTATTTTGAGATGATGTATCTGATGTAATTTGTGCATTTACAGGCGCTGGACATGATACGGGGCAAAAATATCCTTCTTTTAATGGATTCCCATTTGGAGGGAAATTTCTCTACCGAAGAGGCTACAGTAGTTTTCGATCTTGCCTCACAGTGTTTGCAGTATGAACCACGGGAACGGCCAAAGACTGCTGATCTTGTTTCGACCCTTGCCCCACTTCAAAATAAAAATGATGCAAGTCCATAATCTCTTTCAGTTTCTTATATTAGCAATAATTATAATCCATAGAATATTTTATTTCAATACATGCGATCTGACTTCTGAGAGAACTACTCTGTAAGTTTCAAGTTATGTTACTCTTATAGGTTGTGCCATTCATAAATTTTTCTTTCCAAACTGTTTCCAAGAATAAATAATGTGGCAGACAACCCAATCTAAAATACATATGATTTTGCTTACTAGTCCATTCTACTAGATTTCTGTCACTAATGGTAACATAATTTAACAGTGTTATCTCTTTCATCTTCCCCTTCATTGTGTTCCATCATATGTTTCTCTTGCTTGAAATTCAGTGATGTGCTCTTTCTAATTTTTTTTATTCTCCACGCTGTTGTAGATGGGCACAATCAGGTTTTTGATGAATTAGCAAAAAAAGTATCTTGTCGCATTTGATTAATTCTGCTACTGTGTGAGAAATTGTATGAGCTGCTCATGACTCAAAATGATTTGTGTTGAAATCATGCAGTCCAACTTTGTGAAAATATTGACCACTAAGAAAACGAATAAATTGGCAATTACAGGTTCCATCTCATGTGATGCTGGGAATTTCAAAGCGGGAAGAAGGACCTCCACCCCCGCCACCTCATCCGCTCTCCCCAATGGGCGATGCGTGTTCGCGTATGGATCTCACTGCTATCCATCAGTTTCTAGTCATGCAACACTATAAAGATGACGAGGGAACCAATGAGGTCTAAATCAATCTATACTCATCTATGAAGATCATTCTTGCGTGTCTTTATGATATCAAGCATTGTGTTTCTATGAAGATCATTCTTGCGTGTCTTTATGATATCGAGCATTGTGTTTCTAAAGCATTGATGTGATTGTGACACAGTTATCTTTCCAAGAATGGACTCAGCAAATGAGAGATATGCTGGACGCAAGGAAGAGAGGTGACTTGGCATTTCGCGACAAAGATTTTAAAACTGCCATCGACTGCTACTCTCAGGTATTCTCATTCACCCATGGACACTGGAGAACATGCCTTAATGCCTTTCTCCCTTTCTTTCTCTTTCTCTGTGTATTACTTTTGAGCTAAAAAGGTGGAGCACTTTTTGACCCCACAGGTCATTTACAATTTCAACCAAGGCGCTGTATGGAGTCATTTTTATTTTATTTTATTTTATTCAATTTTCATACAACATCATAGTTTTGCTTCCTTTGCCTTCATTTCTCATTTTCACACTGATTTAGACTTTGTAAAGTCAAAGCAATGTTCAATGTACCCGTGATACCTATATTTACATTCATTCCAACCAACTGATAGTACTTTGAAAAGTAGGCAACACCTCATTTAATAGGTGTGAGGATATTATTTTGGGATAAAAATAATTGGTGGTTACCAGGCACCTGAAAATACATCTATATTACCTTCTCACCAGAAATAATTCTTAACATTACATCCTTTATTCTTTAACTCTACCTACATTCTCTTTTCAGCCTTCAATTACATCACCAGTTTGCTACCACACACACACACACAGACACACACACACACACACACCATTGTTTGGAAGCCCCTGGGTTATTTGTACCATTCTCAAATCTTTGATATATTATCNTTCTAAAAAAAAAAAAAAAATGGTACTCGGGTAATTGGTGCAGTTCATAGATGTGGGGACCATGATATCACCGACTGTCCATGCCCGGCGAAGCCTCTGCTATCTGATGTGTGACCAGCCAGACGCTGCCTTGCGTGATGCCATGCAAGCACAATGCATCTATGCAGATTGGTCAACTGCCTTCTACATGCAGGCTGTGGCCCTTGCCAAGCTCGACATGCACAAAGACGCAGCTGACATGCTCAATGAGGCCGCCATGCTCGAAGAAAAGAAGAATCGAGCCACTAAGGGGACGTGAAGTGAACTCTCCTTCACTGGATCTCACTTTGCTGCACAGTTTGTATGCCAAAATGTACAATATATAACTGGGGGAAGCAGAGTTATTACATACACACTTATATTCACTTTTTTTTTGTTTGAGTAGAATGGGTGATGCTTTTCATTTTCTGTCAGCTGAGAATGTGGAATAATGTTTTTACAAACGGCTATGTATTTAATTAAACTTTAATTGTACANTTGGTTCTTTTGGGGGAAGAAATTTTAGGCGATGTAGAGTTCAGCTTGGCCGTCTATGAAGAGGCTCATGAACTCCTCTCCATCAACCGTTTCTTTCTCGATCAGTAATTGAGCAAGTTTGTGTAGAATGTCGATTCGTGTGGTGACTATGTGCTTGGCCCGGTTGTATGCTGTCTCGACCAGCTGTCTGACTTCGGCATCCACTATGTCTGCTGTCGCCATGGAGTAGTCTTTCTGGGATGACATCTTCAATTGAACAATGCAAGAACATGATCTTGAATTCTTAGTTATTATAATTTATGACTAATAAACTATATATTTAGAAGTTGAAACAGAAAAAACTATATAGTACATCATCATTCTAGTACGAGAGAAAAAGAGATTGGAGAATAAATTGGTTTGCTAGTGAAAGTTATGGGAACATGTCTATTATTGTTTATGAGACTGATATTTACTTGTTAGATGAGTTTTTCTTGAGAAACTCAGAAGTATCATCTTAGTATGAAATATAGCAAGTGTTAACCTGTTGTCCGAGAAATGGGTTTCCACCAGAACCACCTATGGCCACTTGCCCGATCTTCTTGCTGAACCCAAACCTCTCGACCATCTGTCTTGCAACCCTTGAGACTTGCATGAAATCGCTGGATGCCCCAGTTGTTACGTTGTCTTGTCCGAATATAATCTCTTCGGCAACCCTGCATGAACACATGAATTGAGTGTAGAAAGCAAAATTAACATTTCTTGAGATTGTGAGGGGATTGTTACACAGACACACCATTTTAGACAAATCCTGATCCGTATCCATTTTTCGTTATATTTAACCACTCCTGATTGAATTTAAAGACTAATTCAGTTGTCAATTAACAAAAAATGTCGAGGAACGGGGACTAAAAATGAATAAACCGACCTTCCACCAAGTGCAACAGCCATCTGATTTTCTAAGTAGCTCCGACTATACAATCCCGACTCAAGTCTCTCTTCACTTGGAGCAAAAAACGTAAGCCCACCTGCCTGTCCACGCGGAATTATAGATATTTTTGCTACTGGATCATATTCTGGCATCAAGGCACCAACTAATGCATGCCCGGCCTCTACAGTACATTNAAAGAAAAAAAAAAAACTCCAAAATATTATCATTTGGCACTTGTTTACTTATCCTTTCTTCCTTACCATGGTAAGCAACAAGTCTCTTCTTTTCATCAGAGACAACAGCATTTTTCTTTTCTGGTCCAGCTATTATTCTCTCCAAGGCATCGGATATCTCGTCTTTGCTTATTTCGGTAAAGTTGCGTCGTGCTGCAATAATGGCTGCCTCATTCATTAGGTTTTGCAAATCTGCACCAGTAAAACCTGGTGTCCTCCGTGCAATCTTTTCGAAATCAACATCCTTTGCAAGCGCCTTTCCCCTTGAATGGACCTGTCATAGTGAAAATACAAAATGAGAATACGGCACAATATTGTCTCTTGCTTTGCTTGGAAAAATACATCCCCAACAAAATTTGACGCGAAAGCGGTTACATAACAAACAAGTCAGAGCAAACATGCAGCACCAAATACTATCACTATTTCCATTATTCACAAGTGTACCATAACATTACCATCTATACAGTGGCAAAAGAGACCAACTTTTCTAAGTGGTAACATACAGTTTGCTAAAGGAATAATCAAATCTACACTAAAAATAGATTTTCAATTGTTACAACTAAGAAAAATGATACTATTAAGCTGGAACTATAGACCACGGCAGGTTACTCAAAGCTAAAAACCTATATAACATGACAGCATAACATTACCAGAAAATAAGAGTGTTTTTCTTTGTTTGGCGATGCATTTCAATCATTGGTGTCGCACCAAAACAGATCCAGAACGTTTATTTCGATTACCATGGCAAAACAAACTAAGAGTGGCAAAGCAAAGTTCACAAACCTTAAGAATCTTAACCCTGCCAGCAACATCTGGTCTGTCCACCATAACCTGCCGGTCGAACCTCCCAGGCCTCAACAAGGCCGAATCAAGAACATCGGGCCTGTTAGTTGCAGCCAGCACAATCACACCCGAATTACCGGAAAACCCATCCATCTCAGTCAAAAGCTGATTAATAGTCTGCTCTCTCTCATCATTACCACCCCCAAGTCCAGCCCCTCTTTGCCGCCCAACGGCATCAATTTCGTCTATAAATACAATGCAAGGCGCTTTCGACTTTGCTTTCTCAAACAAATCCCTCACTCTCGAAGCCCCGACCCCCACAAACAATTCTACAAATTCCGAGGCTGCGCAAGAGAAAAACGGCACCCCAGCTTCGCCAGCCACTGCTCGAGCCAAAAGGGTCTTCCCCGTGCCTGGAGGGCCCACTAAAAGACAACCTTTAGGGATTTTGGCCCCCAGTGCAGTGTATATTTGTCTGGGTTTTTCAAGAAATCTACAAGTTCTTGCAACTCGAGCTTGGCTTGATCGGCACCGGCCACATCAGCAAAAGTGACGCCGGTCTCCGGGACCTCCTGGAACCTGGATTTGGACCGGCCGAAGTCCATGGGCCCTCCAAGGCCGCCGGGCCCTTCCGGGCCGCCTTGGGCCCGTCTGAACAGGAAATAAAGCCCGCCGAAAGCGAGGAGGGGGAAAAGCAGACTCACTATGAAATTGAACAGCCCGTTCTCGGACTCTCCTTCGGAGACTGTGATTTCGACGCCATTCATGGCCAAAATGTCAATCAAATCCGGGTCGTTGGGGACGACCACGGCGGCCTTGCGACCATCGACGGCGGTCAGCTGAAGGGCACCTCCGTCATTGCTGAACCTCACACGCTCGACCTTTCCCTTCCTCACCGCGTTCAATAACTCGCTGTAGCGCCACAGGGAACCCTCCGGGAGATCTGAGGCGGGCAGTGACTGCGGCTTGGGGGCGTCCAGGATCAGGTTCGGGCCGAAGGGAGACGACGTGCCGGGCTTTTGGGCCTCGATCTCAATTACTTGTGGGGCAGGAGGTGGTTGTGGGGGAGCATTGTCTAGTGCGAGTGCTTGCGGAATGACTGATGAGAAGAGCAGGGCAGCTACAGCTGCGTGATTTCGGATAATTGTTGGTTTCTTGGGATTTTTACCGTTGAAAAGGGACTGTGGGATTGGGAATTTTCTGGGAAGTGTTATACGTGCGCGAGGTGAACTGGAGAAGAAGCTTTGGGTGCGGAGGAAGTTGGAGGAGATTAGAGGATTAGTGATGAGTGATGAGGCCATGAGATGTTTTTGGCTGAGTTTGTTTTCTGGGAATGTGCGAAGCAGGGCAAAGGAGGTCTTTTTTCGTTGAAGGGAATGCAAAGTAGTGAATTTTACCAAGTTCTGTATAGGCATGTCCCTTGTGGACTGTGCCTGGCTCTACGAGGTAACGAGAGTAGGATTTTTAGCTGCTTTTGCTATATAAAGCTCCACAGTTAATAGTTAGGCTAAAAGGAAGGAACTAGGGTGATTTATTAAAAAAAAACTTGAAAAATAAGTGGACAAAAACAAAAACGAAAAAAAAAGAGTAGCCCGAAATAAAATACACGTATTTACACAATACGTTTTCTTAATATAATTTTTTAGTAAAAAACGTATTCCTTGAATACGTGTTTAAATTAATTTTTTTTAATTATTTTAAAAACATATTGCCGAAAATTGTATATCTAATTTTAATTTTAAACCGTATTTACGAAATGCGTTTTCATGAAAACCCCAAATTTATTTGAAACCCAAAAGCCCTAAATTAATTTTAAACCCTAAATCAATTTTGGTTTTATAAAACGTATTTCTTTAATACGTTTTATAAACACCCTAAATCAATTTAAGTTTTATAAAACGTATTTTATTAATACGGTTTTTACCATTAATTAATTGTTAAGAAAAAATTAAATTAAAATAAAACGTATAATGGAAATACGTTTTCTAATATAATAAAAAAAATAAAAACGTATTTGTAAAATACGGTTTTTAACAAAATATAAGTACGAAAAAATCTTCTCCTCCACCACTCTGCACGAACAAAACAGCGAGAAGAAAAAAAACCACATTTCCATCGAAATTTCACCTGAAAATTAAAAAAAAAACTTTTAACAATCAATCGATTTGGAGAAGAGGTTAGTTGTTATTCTAATGTAATGTAATTACATTGTTTTTGTTGTTTATGAATGTGTAAGAAATATTTGTTGGTTTTGATGAGTATAGTTTAGAAAAGATTTATTGTTAATTTAATAGTTGTGTTAAATGATTATACATTGTTCTTGGATGATGAGTTTCGGTGTATGTTGAGAATTTTTCCGAAAATTGGATGATTTGTATTGTATGGTTGGATTATGAGAATTAGGGTTTTGGAGAGTTATTTTATAAAAGAATTGGTGATTTTTTTTTGTTATTGTAGTATTAATTGGAAATATTTATCTTGATTTGAGTAAAAGAATAATTGAATTTTTTGGGAAATTATGTGTTGTTGTAATTGGGAATAATTGAAAGTGTATTATATGTTATTGATGGATTATGAGTATTAGGGTTTGTGAGGATTATTTCATAAAAGAATTTGTGATTTTATTTTTAATGTTGTAGTATTAATTGAAATTTTAATTTTAGTAAAAAAAAAATTGAATTTTGTTTTTTGGTTGTGGGAATGATAAAAGAATAATTGAATTTTTTGGGTGTTGGGTTAGAAAGTATGTGTTGTTGTAATTGAGAAGAATTGAAAGTGTTTTTTGCAACAGGTATAAATGGCGTCTACCGGGCCATATTTTGTTAATGTGTATTAGAATCATCCCAAGGAGTTATATTATTTTTCAGATTTTAAAAACTCTTCGGATGGTTCATTTAGCATTGGAGAGATGATATCATTGAAACAATTGTTAGATATTCTTTATGAAAATTTTGGGTTTCGTCGAGATGGTTGGATAATTGAGGAGATTAGTTTACTGACTAACCAACTCGATGGTTCGTGGAATATTGGAAACCTGAATACTGATAGTGCTCTTCAGTGGATATATTATTTCCCTCCTTTCTCCTATGTGTATTTACATTTAGAGTTGAAGCAGGTTATGCAAACACCTACAGAGGTTACGCAGTTTGAGGATGTTACCCCTTTTTACGGGGAAGTGGCTGATGTTGAGGGTACGTCCACTTTGCATGCTCGTAATCTTGGCGAAGGGACAAGCTCAACAGTTAGAGAATTCGATAATGAGAAAGAAAGTGATCATGATTTCATTCATGGTGAAGACGATTTCACAGATGATACCTCAAAAACAGAATCGGATAGATCAATAAACGAGGAGAGTGAACCAGAATTTATTAAGAACACCCATTTCCTCGTAGCGGTCAGCGCATGTATCGTGAGATGGGTGAGTGGGACCCGTCGGGTGTAGACTGGGATGAGCATGCTCTGCTACGTTGGAATGGAAATATTGAGACTATCTGTTTGGGTACTGTTTTCCGGTCCAAGGAAGAAGCACAGATGGGTATCATGAGTTGGAACGTTAGTAGGTTGAGGGAGGTTACGACAACATATTCGAATAAGAAATCATTCAAGGTGGTGTGCAAATCTAACGAAGATCAACCTTGTCCGTGGAGGGCTCGGGTGACGCACTGCACACGAGTTCATGAACTGTGGGAAGTAACGGAATGGACTGAGAGGCACAGTTGTATGCAAGAAGTCGTAAAAAATGACCATAGAAATGTAACCGCCACAATGATTTCAAATCTTGTCATGACCAAGATTCAAAAGAAACCCGACTACAGTGTTACCCTGATCTAGGAGGATGTTAAAAAATGTTGGAAAGTCGATGCGAGCTATAAGAAGGCATGGCACGGGAGGAAAAAAGCCATCGATCGTTTGTATGGCACTTGAGAATCGAACTTCGCACAACTCCCTCAGTAAGAAAAAATTTATTAAAAATGTACGTGTTGTTTGTCACTATGTTTATGTATTGACGATTACGTTTTGTAACATGCAGGTTTTTTGCGGCGCTTCAAAGAGCAAATGCCACTACAGTTGTACAGTGGGAATGGCAGGGTGGGGGAAATGGCGGCCCATTATCAGCACAGAGAATTTAAATTTGTTATCTGGGCGTTTGGTCCCGCCATACAGACCTTCCAGAGATGCCCGCCGGTAATTAGCATGGACGGCACACATTTGCGTGGCTCGTACAAGGGGAAGTTGCTTGTGGCCATTGCACAGACTGCGAATAAGCGGCTATTGCCAATCGCCTATGCGATTGTGGATGAAGAGAGCCGAGAAAACTGGTCATTTTTCCTGACAAATCTCCGGCAACATGTTGTCGGCTACAGACAGTTATGCTTTCTTTTGGACAGGGATACGGGCTTACAGAGTGCCGTGGAATCATTGGAAGCTTGGCAAGAACCCGCTGCATATCACCGGATCTATCTTCGACACCTTCGGAGCAACGTGGTCACTAAGTTCAGGAATAACAAAATCCGAAATTGGTGTTGGGAGTTGGGTTCACAGGTTTCAGAGAAAAAATTTCAACAGATACGAGAGCGGCTTTCGGATTTTAATCCGGAAGCATACGATTACCTGTTCAGAATTCCTCTGAACAAGTGGACCTTGTTTGGAGACGGAGGACGTAGATGGGGTACATTGACAACCAATATGTCCGAGAGTTACAACAACGTCCTGAAAGGTGTTAGGTTCTTGCCCTGCCGCGCTTTGGTACACACCACATTCATGAAAACTCTGGACTTGTTTGAGCAGGAACAAAAGAAGTCCACGAAATGCAGTAATGTCATTGCTAGTGCCCACTATGCCGCTTATTGCGAATTGGAGACTACGGCAGCAACTCAAAAGGTGCAATGTGCGAACGCGGAGAGATCCCTGTACAAGGTGACAACCGATCTACGGGCTCATGGTAGAGGGGACAAAAGGTATATGGTTTATTTATTTATTGTATAATTTTTATTTTTCTATTTTGGTTCATTAAAATTTTTAGTTGTTTATAAATATAATTCAATGTGGAAAAACAGGTATAAGGTTTCGTACGACCGGATGCGTTGTAGTTGTCTGAAGTGGCAGACACACAAAAAACCATGCTCTCATGCTATAGCTGTGTGTCGTCAAATAAAAGCTCCACCAAAGTTCTTGTACGATCCCCACTTTTGGACGGAGAACTGGGTATCTCAATTTTCTAATTGGAGTTTTGCTCCGATTGGTGATCCAGACACATGGCCGCTGGTCGGATGGAACTTACTACCACGTTGGGAGCGGATCATCACGAAGGCTGGACCCGGTCGTGCGCAAACGAAGCGTCATCGCATGCAAATGGATCGTTGGGCACGCCGCCGGAATGATAGAGGACAGTGTAGTAGATGTGGTAATTCAGAGCATTTTGTGGATGACTGTCCGTCCTCACATCCTCGCATTGATAGATCTAGACTCCGCGATGAGTGGGGAAACTAGATTTGTTAGTGTTTATTTTTTTTATGTTGGACT